GCCTTCATTCATCCAAACATACGATTAGAGATCGTTCGTTTTGACACGTAATGCATTTTTGTTATTTTTTTTTCCTTCTCTTTTTTTTTTTAATTTATTTCCGAGATTAAAAAAAAAAGGAAAGTAGATGCATGACAGGAAAGAAAAAAGAAGTCTAACATTGTTTTATTTAAAAGATAATAAGAGCAACAAATAATATGATCATGTGGGATGTCATCTAAAATTTTACTACCTCAATTAATGATTGTCGAAGAAAAAAAAAAATGATAAATGATCTGTTGAGAAAGGTGTTGTTTGACACATGTTAGAAACGAGAAATGTCGACATATAGAAAAATGCCAGAAAACAAAAAAATAGAATGATAGACAGTAGACAAATTTCATTTTGACAAGACTCATTAATTTACGTATTTTATTTTGATGTATAATTGATTAAAAATTCAAAATTGTATTATCTTATATATGAATATAATAGAATTCAATTTGTATTAATATAAAGTTGATTACTAAGAAATAACTATATTGAACATGATAGGAATCAAATAATTTTTTTTTTTCGCTTTCTCTTCTATAGAAAATTTAGCAGGATTCATGTTTAGAGTGTGTCTGTTTTTCATTGTATATCGTGTTTTCCGGTTATGTCAGTAAGATAAAATGTAACATAGAAAAAGAAAAGCAAGTTTTTTTCTTTGTTTTTATTTTATAATAAAATGTCGTCGGTCGATTATATTTGACAATTTATTAATATGTGGAACGTGATTTTGAATAAAAATAAAGTAAAATAGTCTTTTTTGCTAATATTATCAGTGAAAGTTCATTTTGTTGATGGATAAATTAAAATGTCCTTCTTCTTATCTTAAAAAAATATGAAAGTACAAAGTTCTCAGTATTTTTCTTAATCAATATGTTTTCAGTTAAAATTAAAAGAAGATTTACAAAAGAAAGAGAAGACAATATTTAAATTTACTGATTATATTGTCAAAGTTTATGATGATGATGATTATATGTTAAAAAACAAAAATTTCAATATGAAAGTATTTTAATCATATGGAAAGGATGTTTATAGTATGTAGATCTTATCTGATGATTTAAGTATCTTCCTTTCTTTCCTCAAAAAAACAGTCAATTTTCGTCAAAAACATGAAAGTTGAGATAAATATATGGGAAGACACTCTAAGATCCGATCTTTCATAAATGACATGATTTTGTATTTGGGGCCTCGTTTTTTTCGCAAAAATTTCCGTCATATTCTCCTTGAAAAATATGTTTTTTTTAGATATGGCGAAACATCTTTTTTGCTTTTTTTCGGTTTATGTTTTTTTTGATCACGCATCCCAGAATTCTGGAAGAAGCTTCATCGTAGCCAACTGCATCCTGACCTACTCTTTCAAATGAAAAACAACTAAGTATATAGAATCAAGGTACACTGAGAATTTCGTTTTGGCAACTTAGCTATTTTTGACTCTTGCTTATTGAATATCTTGCGAAAACATCATGATATAGGACTGAAAATTTTACTATAGCCTTCTCACTAAAGCTCGAACATATACTGAAGAGTTCGTGCGATTCGAATGCATCTGATCCAAGATCGATTTTTGAGGATAGGAAGAGGCTTAATCGATTGCGTCCAGTGATGATGTTTCGAATAATCACAACGGAAAACTTTCACACTATTGATCAATTTGTATACAATAGATTTTTTATGGTTAATAGTAAAATTTCTTTCATCGGTTCTATGAAGATTGTTAAAAGTTCTTCAAACAAGTTGATGCGTTAATAGAAGAGCATGAATTAAATTTCTCTGGAATATAAGTGATTGTTAAATACGAAGAATTTTCTATAATTCTATTCTGTATTCTATTGCTAAATTAAAGTGAACTCTCAAAAGAAAGACGACTTCCAAAGACAAATAGTTAATAACCTGATAGCATTTCTGTAGTCAATCGTGTACGCCTTTGGTCTCCATATTTTGCATGTGTTCTTTATGTTTCAGTGCTCTAGAGAACGACGAGTTACTAGAAACTCCTTCGAACTTTGCCAGAAAGATCAATGTCTCGAGATGACACAAACGTTTTTTTGAATTTTCGATATGAGTTTCTGTTCATCTTCAGTAAGTGCCACAAAACAGTGATTTGGCTTCCATCTTTTACCCTAGATAATTAAAAGTGATGTGCTAGTCTCCTGTCAAACAACTCGCCAGCTATAATGAGCAGCAGCAGTAATAATGAAAACACTCGACAGAACAAGATTGACTCTACGTGAAATCGTTTTATCGTTATTAGGTTAATTCAAAACTTATTACCGAAATTTGAGATGGCCTCGCACTGAATTTATGTAATTCTTTGAGATTTCTCTTTATTTCTTTACATACTAGACATACGCATCTCAAGTTATCATTTGTGCTCGTGATAATCTCGAAAATGAAGAGTCGGAAAATACTGGTTCAAATGTAAGGATGAAATTTCATGAACGACTCTATACTATTCGTTCTCCAATCTTTAACATGACGGTCCATTTTCTTAGATGCAGCCACCCCAAAAAACAAATTTTTGTAGACCTAGTTGTTTCTCTTTAAGGTTCGAGATAATTAAAACGATGACAAGTAGTTTTTATTTATCAAAGCTGTATTAACATCTTATAATAGATAATGAATCATATAGATAATAATGACTACTATTATTTTGCTAAGTAAAATAACTTTTATGCTAAGTTGACGTTTGCGTAGTAAAATTTGAATCTGCGAAGTAAACTTATTAGACGCTCACTTAATTTAAATTTTCTTGATCATAAAAAAATTCAATGAGTAAAAATTATTATAAGCAGATAGTTTGTAGTTAAGACAAACTAAAATTAGCAACGATTAGATGAAAACTTTGTAGATGGTAGCATGGCGGGTAGATTTTTTTTCTATCTCTTACTTTTCTTCTTCCAGTGGTGTTGGAAAAATACTCTAGAAATATATCATTCTTACTTTTTGAAGACATCGAGTAACAGAGAGAAATAACTTTCAGAATGTTCCGGACAAGACTGGTCAAATAATCATAATTCATGAGATCAAGAATACAATAATTTAATACTACGCACAAAAAAGTTATTAGCAGTAACAAATAAAATCATCAAAGACAAACATACATTTAAAGAATGACACACTCTATGAAGACTTTTCAAAATTGCAAATACAATTTTAAATAAATAATCGAAGTCTCGTAATTAGAATCAAACAAGGTAGACTTGCATTTTCAACAGAACTAACAATTACACTTACAAAAATCGACTGATCCATATCATTTTGCAGGATTCTCAATACAAGTGTTAAAAATATCACGTCAAACCAAGGATTGAACTGATTATTATGTAATAACTAATGAGATACAAAATATTACGAAAAACGCGGTAAAAAAATATAAGAAAGAAAGAATAGATGTCATCTTCGAATCAATTCAAAGATCTTCAGAAAAGCAAATTTGCCAGACAATCGCCAAAGTAGGAAAATGAAATTTACAATTGTCCAAGTTTTTCAAAGAATATATTTACAGACATATGATTGGTATGATGATAAGGTTGAAATTTTGCAAACCATCTCCAGCAGCAAATGATTAACAAAATTTACATATTTACCAATCGATCTAGAATATTTTGCCGAGAAAATCAGAGTTTTTCTTGGTTTTCATATCTCAATCGATATAAGTAATTATGATATAAATTGACTTCTCTTTATGTTTTTCATGTGTTGATCAAGTAAAGTTTTTATCCCTAATTTGAAATGTAGTATGATCTTTTGTTCTCACGATTATATATCAAAATTACCACCAGAATAAAACTTATACTGAAATATTGAGTGTTCCAAAAGTTCCTTCTTAAAAGGTTTCTCGTTTCATTTCACTATTGACTGGACTCCATCGAATAATTTTTTTTTTGATAATAGATAAATACATAGAGTTTTTATTTCTACATTGAAAACTAAGATCCTAAACAGAAATACAGAAATGTAGCTTTTTTTTTCTTTCTAAAAAAAATTCATGGGTGATGTGTGTTTTAATTGCTTGAATTTGAACTTGATACCATTCATTTCGTTTTTGTAAAGGTATACCGAAATAAAGTTCTGTAAAAAGACCGCTCAATTGTTAGGTAATTTAATGATTCGAGCAGCTTAACAACTCGAAGTAACTAAAAACTGAAAAACTTTTAAGAAGAGCCTTTTGGGACACACGGTATTTCAATAACTAATTAATCCAAGTGTTCGCAATTTGAAAATACATTAAAAATGACATCAGCATAAATTCCTGCATTTCCAATTATAGACATTCGTGCACTAATTGGCTTAATTTCTGTTGCAATTTGAAAGTTATGGATATTATTACTTACCTCGTTTCTATTCGATTGACTGTTATTTTTATTTCGATAGCATCATGTTTAATAGAAATCTTAAAATTAAACTTAAATATCGATCGATTTAAGATTTTTATTCGAATTTTTTGTTTTTTACTGAATTTATAATCACCTTTTGATAACTTAAAAGTGTTTTTTTATTCAATTTCTTCCAACTAACTATAAAAATGATATAAATTTAGTTGACATTCCTTGTCGACACAGTAACATAGAATTCTTTTTTTGGGATCTATTTATTTCATATTGATTTTTCCGATGATCAACATTTTTAGCTTTGCACTCCTTTTCATATTCGAGTTTCACTCGAATACCATCTAGTTTTATTTAGTAAGTTCAATTAATCAGCATATACGTAAAGACCGAATGAGTCATATGTGATCATTAATTCAATCAACAAATGCTAACAATTAGAATCAATATCGATTAACAAATTATGAAAACAATTATAACTAATCGCTAGTTTACAAGTTAGATAGATAAATATAGTCTGTCGCAATGTATGAATCAGTTCTTTATTTTATCATAAGGGAGGACAAATAAACATAGATATATATGTAAAGAATAGAAAGAGATCTAACTCTTATTTGTTCTTCTATTTAAATAACTAACATAATGGTAAACACAATCGTTACGTTTGGAAATAATCGAGTTTCATCAGTTGCACCACTTCCTATAGTGATTAAAACTGATAAAAAATCATCTTTACAACGACAAATTTATTTAATTATTGGAATTCTAGTACTTATCATTATTGTGAGTCCAACAATATTATCAATTGAAAAAGATCCAGATGATTTTTCTTTTCATATACTTTTCATTGTTCATGCAAGTTCGTTAACATTTTCTTCGTTTATATATGTTTTTCTTTTTCACTTCTTTCTTAGGTTTTCTATTATTATTTTTCATTTCAAATACAATATATAGAAGTTAGTTTATACTTTTGTTTTTTTTATTTATTTTCTAATTGAATAATAATTTTTATAGATATTGGAGATGGAATAACAATAATACCTAGTCTTAGTCTTTTGGCTATTTATAAAACAGTTCATTATGTAATTCGATATCGTTATTGTCGAATAAATTCTCCAAAAGATTTTCTTATTACAACGGTTTTATTTTTTTGTTTTTTTTTTATCTTTAATCAAGAAAATTCAACTATCTTTTATTTAGATTCAATTAACAATTATTTTAATATTTGTTATAACATATATTCTTTGGACATATTTATTAATAAGAAATAAATATCGAAAGAAAATAACAAAAGGGTATTAAAAAAAAATTTTTTTTTTATTTGTTTTATAGAATCATATTTCTTTTTTCTTTTTTCAATAGAGCAACAAATTTTATAACAAAACAAAAACGAATATTTTTCTCATTGTTAAGTCTTAATTTAATGTTAACAGTAAGATTAAATAATCATAATTGACTTATTTAATTATTTGTTTTTTATATTTTAAAGATTTCATCATTAATTTTAAATATACGTAATCAAGAAAATTTTGGTTTATATGAAATAATTATTCTCTCAGTTGGAATACCATTAAGTTTACTTTGGTGTACAATAGGAATATTAATGGTAATAGAAAAAAATTCTTTTCAATCATTTGTTTTCGATCTACAACAATTACCCACAGTGTAGAATTGATCGTACTACTAAAAAAAAAGCAAATAGACAAAAAAAAAACTTTACAATCGATTCAAGATTAAGAAACATTAGATATAAGTATAAATATGAATGTTTAGTAAACTATTCTAATTGAGTATGAAGTCTTACACGAGAGTAGATAGTAGCTATTTTTAAAATATCCCATATTCCTGTATAATTTTTCCTTCTTTTTGGAGCTTCTATCTGTTGTAATATTCGTTATTCGATAACGAATATAGTTTTCATTTTTTCATAACATTTCGATAAATTGAAAACGTGAATGTCAACATTCAATTACTACTTACTAATAAGATCATCTACAAATCTATCCCATGAGATAAATCTTCACTTTTCACATGCTATTTGATTTTCACTGGATGCTGTATGTGATTAAATCATATGTCTACAAATTGACATTTGTGGGAAATGAAACAGGTACTACGCTTCTGTCAAATATGCAACCAATTGATATCGCCTAATTATTGTTTGATTAATTGTCATTTTTCCAATATATTTTAGTCGATGTTTCGAAATTGTTTATGCATAACATCATTCTATCTATTGTCAATGATCCAACCATTTCATTTAATTCATTTGATATTTCAAACAATAAATGAATTACATAGTTTATCAACTGAACATGAAATAAATAAATTTCTTCCTTTATTAATAATTATTTTTGTATGTGTTAGTACAAATTTTCTTGTTCATTTATTTACAACAATAACTGGTTGTTGGATGATATCAAAAACTGATAAAACAATTATTAATTTTCGTTGGTTATTAGCAAATATTTGAACTTCTATTTTGTTGTTTTTTTTTTTCGTCTTTTGTTATAGTGTGTTTAGAATGTTGCATAAGCGTGTATGTGTGTTTTTTTTTTCATTTTTGTTTCTAGATAGAGTCATGTCAGCTTCGATAAATAATGAAGATAGAGAAAATAATCTTGATCAAAGCCGAAGTTATGATGAAATTGAACAATTCATTTCTGATGAAGATGATACTCATGAAATTAATACAGAAAGTAGAATAACAATTAATTCATTAAGATCATCTGATGAAAGATTAGTATCACAACAACAACAACAACAACAACAACAGCGTTCATCATCTTGTATTACACAAGTACAGAATACGAGTCTTTCTCTAGAAAAATCTTCAACGAATATTGAAGAAAATTCTAAAAATGAAAATAACAATAAATCAAAAATATCCATATTAAGTGTTAAAACATCAAATATACCTGGTCCAGTTGGTCTCTTACCAATATTAGTAAGATTATATGTTATTAATTAAATTCTTTTAATTAAAATTATTATTAATATAGAAAACTAATGAAGATTTACGACGTTTAAAAGAAGATAAAACGGCTCGTGATACATTGCTTACTAATGAAGAGAATGTTAATGCTAAACGACCTAAAACATCATCTGATGTAAGTTAATTATAGATACTTTCCTTACTTTAGTAACTACCAAAGATCGATGGGGCTATCTCGCGTCACCCCGCGCTCTAACACATGCTTCTATTCATGCTGAAAGAACATCGAAGAAATGTTTCCGTGCTTTCGAAACTTGCTCATCCAACAAGAAAATAAAGACACATGCGAAGTGTGGAGTAGCTCTATCTATCTCTGGTAACTACCTACTTAAGTTTATCTGATACCTTTATCTCAGTAATATCTGAAATCTTCATTATAACCTATGAGCAAAGTTTCATCTAGATATGAATATATAATATGATGGAATTGCTATTACTTTGAATCAAAAGTTATTAAGAAAATATCTCATAAATGGTTACCAGTAATGTGTCTTGATATGTATAGAAAGAGTGATTAACAAATATCTTAAACTATTGGTTAGAGATTGTTGGCAGATATTATTATTTGTTACGAGACGTAAAGAAGTGAGAAAACTACAATTTTCTTATTATAGAATCTAACATTCATTCACAAAATGAAATTTTCTTTTACTATAATAGAGTTTTGCATCATACGTCAATCGGATACAAATAATTATTCGGATTAAGCCATAGAATATTATTATCTCAATTTTTTTATGCATGTTCAAAATATCTTCAGAGATATTATCTGATTTTCTAAATTAGTCCACCGAGTGAAGAATATTTCCCATAAATTCAAGCAAATCTTCTCTATTGCTTTGATTTTATTAATGAGCACATAAAAGTTTACTTCATTTTGGATTAGAAGTATAGACCATAAGTTTTTCTTTGTACTCTAGACTTACCTTGCACTTTTCTACTATGGATCAAGCTAAGAAAAACTAATGATTTATGATGATCATTGATCTCACAGTTAATATATTTTGAACGAAAGTCAAGATTTTCTATACTTCCTATAGATTTATCAACACACTTATAAAGTTCGGTACAATTTTACATAAATTCGCTAAATGTTAAATAAAAATTTATGTATATTATTTTGTTTTTAGCTTTTTAGTTTGAATATTAACAATTATCCATCATATACAATAGCTCTTAGACAATTACAAGAATCATTCAGTTGTGAACCAATCAGTATTCATACAGCACTTGTTAAAGTTAGAATAATCAATAAATTCATTCATTCATTCATTCATCATCTTTCATTTCATAAAACTAGGCTCGTCTTGGTATTAAAAAACGTATTCCACTTATGTGTGCGGCTGTAACACACTATGATCGACAAGAAAATACTATTCTATTAGATAAATCAGGTATAAACAATCTATCATTTCAATTTGATAACACAAAAAAAAAAATCTTTTTTTTTTCTTAGCTCATATTCGAGCAACATTCATCGGTGACGATGAATTATTAGATAGTTTTAATATTCGTGTTGGTCATACGCTTGTATTACGAAATGTAAATATCTATTTATCTTTCTAAATTTTCTTTTAAAATAATTTGCTTTTTCGTTTTTGTAAAGGTAGCAGTATTTACATCAACTCGTCATAGACATCATTATGTTAATATTCATTTACAAAATATAATAGCTATACAAGATCCATTAAGTAATTTATTTAGTATGCCATCTATGAGTCAAGAATATCAACAACAACAAAAAATGCCAAAATCAATATTACATTCAATTGAAAATGAAATATCAGCATATGCAGATTCATCAAAAATAAATAATGAAACTTTTCATTTATTTTCACAATTTGATCATGATGATAATGAACAACCACCATTAAAAAAACTAAATACAACTTTAAAATCATCAAATAATTCAGCTTTTAATCATATTAAACCAAATATAAAATCATCATCTGTAAATAAATTTAAAGAAACTATTAGTGAAAAACCACAATCAACTTTTAAGTCTCTTCCTATTCAACCACAAAATACATCAATATCAACTATCAATAAACTTGCACCTACGCTAGTTACAGTTACTCCACCATCATCAATAACCGAAATTGATCTTCTTCAAATGATTGAGAAACCAATTGATATTGATATTAATCCAGAAGGTAATTCTTTTTATGAACTATATTTTAATTCATTTAAATTTCTTTTTTATCTTCTCATTAATAGATCTTACTAATGATGAATTCTTTACAACATGGTAGTGATATTATATTTTCTTTTAATTGTATGCAGATAGATTTTTTTTTCTCAGGTGTTGTAATTTCTTTTGTTGATTTATCTGACTAGAATTTATTTGTGTAATAATAAAAAATTCATATAAATATATATATATATTAGCGAATCAAATTCATCTTGAAATTTGTCATATATGAAGAGTAAAAAATTAGTTTCTCATAGTCTCTGTGTAAATAAGATGATAAAGAAAAGTTAAATAACAACATATTATTTTTTGTGTAATGTTAAGCATCTAGCTGAAATTCAGATAGTGATTTAAATAGTTAATATAGCTTTCTATCTAATACATTCTATACCAAGGTTCCATAAAAGAACTATAATGGTAAGGTTTCTAAAAAACTGAACACGGTAGTTTTATATGACTTTTCTCTCAAAATTTGTAAGTATCACAAAAATCGTAAAAAAAAATGTCTCCTGCACGGTTTTTGTGATACTTACAACTTTTGAAGGAAAAGTCGTATAAAACTATCGTGTTTGGCTTTTTAGAAACTTTTCCATTATAATTCTTTTATGGAATCTTGGCATAGGATGTATTACATAGGAAACTCTATTGACTGTTAAAGTCACTATCTGCATTTGAGCTAAGTGCTTAACATTATAGGAAAAAAAATCACAAATACATTGATGCTAAACTTTTTTCAGTTCTTTAGTAAGAGATACCAAAGGAAAATGTTTTTTAGAATCATAAAATGATGAGTTTTCGAAAGCATAAGACAAATCATAAGGTTTGGTTTTGTTTGGAATATTTCGTAAAACTTTAATAAAAATTTAAGTGTAATTTATATAAATTTCAGCAAAACCTTGATTTTGTATGTGTATCGTTTTATATATTTCGAGAAAATCTTTCGTATGGAAATTTTTGATGTATATTTCTAAGAAACTTCTCGATAAGTTGCTTATTTTGTTAAGAAACAGGACATGTAAAAAAAGCCTCTGAAAGGATTTATTGAGTTTTACATCAACAAGAAGTTGCTTCGATTATATGACTTTCTTGTAATAAGATTGTATGGTGTTAGAATTATTTTAAGTACAAATATTGTTACGTATGGTTCTAACGTCGAATAAATTATTTTAAGAAAGTTGTATATCATTTATTGTGATTTTCAAAGTCAACAAAATATTCTCCACAGTTGATCCATCTACATTCACTGCTGAGGGACCACTATGATTTGGGTTTTTTTTTACATTTGTGAGATATATTTAAATCACTGGATTCATCTATTAACATCATATAACATGTTTTAACTATATCAAAACAGTATTCTTGTATTGAAGAGTAAGCACTTACATTCAGTGAGTTTCTCGTTCGTATTCTAAGCTGGTTACTTTCTATTATTCTAATTCTTTACATTTGACGTAAGAATAAGTATCGACATTCAATTGAAAAACTGCAAGAAAAATAAACTATGAAAGCTACAATCATTATTCGAATCTTGATTTTAGGAATGAATGATGCAGTATTCACGATAAGATATTTGTTCAGCTTATTTAGCTTTTTGGTTCTCATGAAAACAAGAAGTCGAATTGAAATTTTGAGAACATTTATCTATCTTTCCTATATATATATCTACTAAAGAATTGATCTTATTAAACAATTTTTTTATTTGTTAATATTTCATTACATCTTATTTCTCAAATTTTAAATTAATCATCAGTTTCTGATACTCGACGTTGAAATGTTTTAAGTACACTTCCTTGACTTTTATAATCGTAACGAATCTCTGTTAAACCTTCATCATCGTCATCAATATAAGATTCTTCATCAGATGATGAATCCAGATGAAATTGAACATCAAATGGCAAAGATGCTTGATTCTTTTTTTTAGAAATAACACTTAATGATATATTATTTTCAGATGTTTGTTTATTTGCAATAATACTTCTAATTTTTTCTATGAAATCATTTGATATTTCTTGTTTTTCATTTTTAACATAACCAATAATAAAATGAATTTGATTATTAGTTGATTCTATTGAATTTTCTTCTTTTATTTGTGTATCAAGTGTTTGAGGAAATTGTAATGTATTACTTTCATTTATTACATTCTCTTCTGTTTGAATATTAATATCTTCAATTTCCGAATTTTTCTGACGTTCTATCGATTGATTGAAATTTTGTGAATCTATATCATCATTTGCATTATCAGGATAATCATAAGAGTCAATTACTGCTTCATCCATAAATATTGTTCGAACATAAACATGTTCATATCGACCAACAAGCACAGAAACAAGCATACCCATTGTTCCAGCACCAAATAATGCACATATACAACAAACTATACGACCCATTGGTGTTATTGGTGCTATATCACCATATCTAAGTTAAGAAAATTTCGATTAATCAAAAAAATAACAATTTTTTTTTTAAAAATTTACCCAACACTTGTAATTGTAATAATTCCCCAATAAGTTGCCGTAAAAATTGAATTAAATTTTTCACTTTGTGAACTATTTTCAGCATAATAAGCAGTAGCACCAAAAAGAAATCCAATAGCAGTCATTACAATAATCATTATGAAAAAATCAAGAAATGATTGTCTTATTGTTGTTACAAATACATGTAAAGATCTCATATTTTTAAATACTCGAACAAATTTAAAAACTTGTAATAAACGAATTATAAGTAAAAATCGAAGACCAGCATAAGTATGTGTATCAATTTCTTCTTCTTGATCGGTTAAATAAATACCAAGTGTAATATAAAAAGGTATTATAGCTATTAGATCAATCCAATTCATTAGATTTTTTATAAAATCAAGTAACGAAGGTGTAGTTAATATACGAATTAAAAATTCAATTGTAAAATAACCAACACAAATAGATTGAATAAGAAAGAAAGGTGATGTAAAATATGTATAACAAACATTCAAATCTTCAGAAGAGTTTTGATCTGTTCTATTATTCATATAAATAGTAGTTGTTATATTACGTTGTGTTTTACAATGTAAATTATGTACATCAGCATATTGTGGTAATGTTTCGACAGTAAGAACAATTGTTAACATAAGAACCATAAGTATAGATATCATATGAACAAATTTTGCCATTCTTGAATAATCTGGATATTCTGTTAATGCCCATAGATATCTTCGAATAGGATTTTTTGGTAAACGTAATTTTGTAATTACTGTTATATTTTCATCGTTTCGTATTTGATTAAAAGCTTCTCGTCCTAATTGAAAAAAAAGAACTTCTTCAAGAAATACATCAAGTGGAACATGATCTGGTCGCCTTAAACGACCATGTGATTGATAATAATAAAGTATAGCTCCAAAACATGCACGATGACGATCAAAAAAATATTCATTACGAGTTCCATCATAGTAATATTTACGTTGTTTCTCATTTCCAAGTAATGTATCTGGATAAATGTCAAGAGTTTTTCGATTTGTTTCAAAACGATCACCACATACATTTATTCTAATGCGACCATTTAATGAAGATTTTTTGTTTTCTTGCTCTTTTTGAGAACATATCGATCGAATATTAATCAAACTTCGGACATTCACAAGATCACTATTCATAAATATGAATATAGGAATAATTTAAATATTGTCTATTGATTATGTTAATATACTGTTAAAACAAATTTGTTGTTTGAAGATAATTATCCAAGAGCATTAAAAAGCATAAAAAAAAAAGACTTACGAAATATACGGATCCTTAATACATGGACGCCGATTTGTGGTATTATTTGTCCGTGATTCTCTTAAAAAAGAATGAAATCAATTATTTGAAAATAGGTTTATATTTTATTTTCACGCTGAAATAAACTTGATGCACGTCGACTTCGTCTTTTAGCCTCAGGATCAGCAACAAAACGTATTGTAGAAGTTCGACGAGTGGATTTTGGTGAATCAGTGCTTTCCATTTTTTTTTATCTATAAACATATTTTGATATAATAGACAAAAGCACAATGATGTTTACGTATGAATGGCCTGTGTATCTATCTTTTTTTTAAATTTACTCTCTTAATATAACACTTGGAAGTGTTTACAAGAATTAGTGTAATCATTCACCGCTGTTTGATTTACATAATCACGAGCGGTAATGATACATACAAAAACGAAGAAAAAAAAAATATTCATATGATGTTTTGTTTAGTAGATAAAGTATGTAAAGAGAATAAATCCTGAGAAAAGAGCAAAATGGAATGGGCGCAAAATGAATAACAAAAAGAGGGATGACATAAAAACGAGAAGAGAGAAAATAAGAGGAGAAAGGAAGATAGGAGAGAGAGAGACAGAAAGAGTAACAAACAAAACATGATCAGTTTTACATAAGTGAAAATTCAAGTCGCTAAAAGAGACAATGATTGATATCTTGCTTGCAGATGTTTCTTTCGTTTTATTCGAAATAAATGTTCCAAATGATCATTTTTACTCTTATGAAATAAATGTCAATAAAATATATCGTCGTAAAAAAGCGAGAGGTCTAAGTTTGACGTCTCGATTCGTTGTAACTTCTTCTTTATATATAGATTTAACATAATCTGCTAGTGACACTTCATTTCTTGTTTGAAAGAGTTCTGTTATTTCGAGCAAAAGGACAGCGATGAACCAGTTTTAATCTATTACTAAATTTTCTCAAGAATAATTCTTTTTGAATTTGAGTTAGGAAGACATATAGTAGAAATATCTAAGTGAAATAAGGAAACTATAGACAAAAACGCATCCTCGCAAGACATATTTTGACAGAATTTTATCATCTTTCATTCATATTAATTTACTGAATGTTCTTTGAATGTTTTCAAACATTTTATGTGTTCAAGTAAAACGTAGATATTTAAATTCTCTAACTAGTTCTAGTCTATGATTGTTCATGCACACATAATCTTCTGTATTTTATATTCACGAGGAGAAAACTAGTGCTATTTTTTTCGGACCAACTGATGGTGTTATTTCTGTTTCTTCAGATAATTTGCTCTTTCATTAAATATTTTTGTTGTATCTTCTCCTAAAAACTTAATTATCACCCATATTCTTCGGCATATTGATGGGTATATTAGTATGTTAAATCGTCAGAAAACATCTTACTGGGCTTAGCCGCTATATATGCAGCAAGATCATACTGAAAAATAATCAATACATATGGAATTACATTATCCACTTTTAAGCAAACTAACATAATTATAGAATATTTTCGATCTGTTCTCCCGAAAGATAATATATGCATGACGATTACTTAACCACGAAATAATTGATTTTAACAGTTCTAAAAGTATACCCAATCTAAAATGCTTAACATCAAGATCCTTATGCTACACCTTATTGTATGCCTTTTAGTAGTCAATCTATACTGCTAGTATTGAAATGTTAGCTGCCAAATTACGTTTTACTTCTTGATAGATAGATAGAACTCTTATTGGACTGGCCAGATGGGACTGAATTATTGGCTTCTATCCAGTGTCTCACTTTTGTTTTAATATAATTTTTCAAACAGTTTCGAATACGTTGCAAAAAGTGAAATCGCTCGCGTCTGATCACAATAAGATACTTCAGATTTTAATTTATTCAATTTTCAAACATCAGGATATCTACATTTGTTAAATTTGTATTGAAGCAGTTTCTTAATTAACCTCTGTAACTTAGTGCTAGTCGCTTGATCTTAAAATTGGACATGGTGTCGAAACCAATCGATTTTTTCGGTTTCTATATGAATATATATATACATATATCTTCGCGTCGATGGCATTCGTTGTTCCAGTCTTTCTATTTAATGAGTCTAGCTTATTCAGTAATTTTAAATATTCTGTTTCGATTTAAATTTCATGAGAATCTGACAAATCCACATTTCGTGCTTTGAACTGTTCCAAGTAGTATTCATAAAGATCATCACTAATTTCATTCGTCTTTGTCAACATAGTTTTGTCGGTATCTATTTTTGAAAAGAGCAGTAATTTAGATTTATATACTCTAGTGAGAGATGTCCAAAAATGCTTTTTTCTATATTATCATGTGTTTCTTGATTTTTGGACAAAAGCTCCAGCAATTTAGTCGATTTTTATTTTTAATTTTCTGTTTTCACTTGTCGTGTCCTTACATGTAACAGCACTATTGTTGCTTCGTTTTAAAAACATTTTCTTCTCTCAGAAAAATATATTTCTCAGTCTTTTCACTTCTTTCACCTTCTGAATAAGATAAGGAAATGGTAATGGTCGATGTTTTTCCTATGCTATCCATCGTGTAAGGATGTATTTTACGTTAGTAAGAAAACGCATGTAATTCAATACTACTCATTAGAATGTTTCATTATATTCTGTACCTTTATCTAAAATTCTAATAGTAATGTGAAAAAAGTTTCATATGCCTTCGGATAGACATTGGGAAACATCTTCTTGCTATCAAATCCAACATTATCACAAGTAATTACTGATGACTAGTGATCACTCATATCAACGCACAGAATCTCTCTGCCTGTTCTTCCTTCCATTTATAAACGCTAAATCGATGCTTCTATCATTTTTCTAATCATTTTCTGAGTTTCGACACCATTTATCTGATAATACAATATTTCATTCTTTTATGAATGTACGAAAATCATCATTGCTAATTGTATTTTCAATGATTTATGGCTCTAATTCTTCTAAATTTCTAGTCTGACATGCTGTTAGTAAATAACAATTATTCAAATTGTTTCAGAACGCCCAATAACATTAATAATAACTGTGTTTTAAACATTAAAATGTGTTTTCGATTCTTTCCAATGTTTCCAGATTGCTACACACACACACACCTCCGTTTTTATTTGTTCTATGTTGATGAAAGGTATTGAAAGTAGGTAATCAAAATGTATTTCACAGTTCACCAACTTCAGTAAAAACATAAATAGAGACATCTACTTTATAAAAAATATCAATTATCTAATTATAAAATTTGGGCACCCTACTCTTAAGTTTCATAGCAGAGAGAATATTCAAAAAGACTTGTTCTTTTTGTAATTTTTTAGAAGAAATATTTTCCTACTGTTTGAAAATATTTTCTAAAATACCTGCCGTAAATCATTCTGCTGGAATTTTCTCCACTAGTTTCTAGTCTTTTATTTAGAATCCTCATTGACAAAACTGTTTCATCACCGTCACTTTAGGAATAGCTGTTTAGATATGGGAAAATGATTTGACATCTTTCATCAAATTAAAAAAACGTAATACTCATCTATTTTCTTATATTGTGATTAAGATTATTCTTCAAAGTGTTGTCAGTGTGTTTTTGGACGATTGAAACGATGAGAGACATGGAAACGGCGATGTAATGTGCTTCTATGGAGGCATATAGTCGAATTTTAGATAAGATAATAATGGGTTCAAATTATTGAATAGTTTTTTGCAATTTTGACTGCTGTGATTCTTTAAATCAGCAATATTAATACTGATCATTGGCCAGATAAAACTTCTAACTAACAATTCAGATGTAGTTAGTCGTTGCACTAGTATTATGTATTGGTATATGGTAACAAAAGTTGTTTGATTGATCTTTGCATTTGTACTATGTAATTTTTCGTCCATTTATTGAGTATTCTTCTTCGTATATAAAATATTCTGATTCGTCGACACTTACACCTTTGTTTTATATTCACTTCCATTCATATTAGTTGGCGCAGATAGTTGTGATGGAGTTAGTCTCGATTAGGAGTAGCATGAGATATTAGCAATGACAATGGCGGAAATTCGTTTTGCTTCATATGAAATCACACTGTCTGTACACAATATTGAGGCACTAATCGATGTAGTTTTCCTACAGATATTGCTTTATTATCTTTTTTGTTTTAAATCAGATCGATATTTAATCAGTTGTTCACATGTACAAGATAACGAATGATACTGACTATTCCATTAAGCACAACAAACCATGTTCAAACAATCATATATTTGATCATCAATAATATTACCAAGACTGATCAGCAACGGGCATGTTCCAGATCGTATTTATCTCTCATATGACCTAAATACTGGCAACGAGTACACCCAGTGAAAAATGTTCTTGAAAAAAACAAGGAATTAGATGCGTTCATCAAAACATGAAAAGTTACCTTGTCCATGAAAATGCGTTCTATATTTTGGAGAATGTATTTTTACTGGGAAGAATGCGTTTTACATGCGAAGGAAACCATTCTTTACCGTTCCGCTTCATTATAAACGGGTTTACACTAAAATAAAATGTGTCGTGATCAATACAAAAGACTATTAATGTCATCAAAATCACATCAATTTAGACGATTAATCGTGATTGAACAAAAACATAGCCAATTAATTGGGATTGATCAATGATTTTTCGAATACTGAAATATATCACGATTAATCGCTGATGTTCTCACAAACTTCAACAATTAGTATTAATACATAAAAATAAATATTTATTCTCTTTTATATGTAGATCATGTTATTTGCAGTTAAAAGTAAGTATTATCTTATTTAAAAAATCTTCATTTTATTTTATTTAGAAGATTAGATCTGATCAACGAATAATAAGAATTATTTTATTTAAACGTTGTATTTCTTTTGTGTAAATCATCTGTTCTTCATGATTGGTAGATAGATAGGATAGGCAAGATAGCTAGGATAGGTAGATAGACGAGATAGATAGTACAGGTATCATCTTCGACAGCAAACAGCTGAAACACGTGTTCTGAAAACATGACAGGCCTTTTTTAAGAAAAAAAAATGTTATAGAAACTCTGGAATGTATTTTTTGCCGTTCTCAATCGGAATGATCAAGAACACGTTTTGAAAAAGTGGAAAACTTCTTTAAGAAGAAAAAAAAACTTTCGAAAAGCGGAACGCCTTCTCTATCGGTATTTTTAGGAACATTTTTCACTGAGTAGTATGTCATTTGATTACCAGCCAGACAGAGTTTAATAGTACAGAATACATT